AGGCACAGCCGGGCACAGCTAGCCAGGGGTGGAGTCTCATTTGAATGGGCACGGCCTGCATATTCAAGCATTCGGACACACCGGGGGGGGGGGGGGGCACTCGAATATGTGGTTTAGAAATGAACGGCGGGAACTACACACCAACCCTAGGCGAGAAGCGCTTTTGTACCGCACTCGACAGAAGTTGGGAGCTGTGAATGGTGGTCGTACGAGTGCCGTGACGTGCATCGCTCAGCGCACGGGACCTGTCGGGAACGCTGCCGATATGACGCCCTAACCGTTAAGAGAGCACTTACATTGTAGCTCTCTCTCTCTCTCTCTCTCCGCACTCTCTCCGCCGCCCACACACTCCCCGTCAGCATGCAACCGTCCCGGCTTACGACGGCCACTCACGCTCTCCCCGCTTCAAAGCTTCCGCCATAAAAGTCGGGGCAAACTGTAAATTTCCATCCGGAACAACGTGATAAAGGAAAACTCTAACGGGCCAGTGCGATTACAATGGGTCAGGCTCCAACACAGCGCACGCACTAAGGGGCCTCTGCAGAAACAATATGTAGTGCGCGACAAGGGTGGTGAGTGAAAAGTTTAGTTTGGCCGCACACGCAAACGTGCGGCATTTTTGTTCGAATGAGCTAAGTTTGGGAGGAGTTACTTTGAGTTTGTTTAGTGGCGATTCCAACCCCGTAAACCTCCTGACACGGACACCTTTGGCGCAGTGGCATTTTGAAAACAACACTCCTCAAGGTGACGGTTCACATTCCTGCAGTGACATGGGAGTTGGGTCGATTTCCAGAGCATCACAGTTTCATGGCTGGAAGCTCAAAGAAGCAGCCATTCACCCAATGAAGTCTATGGGCGACGGCGGCGCCTGGAGCGTGATGGCGCTGTCCCCCGCGGGGCCTAGGGCAGGGCGGGGTGGGTCGGGGCGGGGCCGCCAGCCCAACAGTCCAATCGCCCCGGCGCCAATGAATAAGTGAGTGGCCCGATGCACCGCAAGGCGGCGCAAGCACCAGCCGCAGCGATGAGGGCGAAACTTTAAAAATGTTCCTGAAGGGTGAAAGTTGCCGCCGCCGGTCAGGTAGCTGGGGCCGCATGAGTGCGAGCTGGGCGGAGAAGGCTGCGTATGAAACATGCAAGAGGGCGACGCGTTCCTGTGCCCCCTCCCCCCCCCCCTCCTCTTACCAATGCTCTGCATCGCCGTGAGGCTCTCCCTCTCAAAACGCCCCGTGGCCCGAGCGACACGTGTAGGGCCTAACAAGGATAGTATAACGAGCACAGCGGAACACACCGGGACACCGGAGCACAGCGAAGCAAAGCGAAGCACGAAGGCAAGACATTTTTTTTGTAAAGAGAAAAGAGGGGTCGGTATCCGCCATGCAGCGTGAGGAAGCGACAGCGGGAAATGGTGTGCATCCCACAGGGGTAATATGGAGGAAAATTTAGGACTAAGGACGAGCATGAGGATACGCTACCGCCA